TCATAAAAGAAGGACGAACTGTATTGACCATAGGATGTAAGGACTGATAGTTGAATTTTACCTCAATAATATGAGTAATCCTCACACGGCCATTTACTCTCACATAGGCTCGCAAATTGAAGTCAGTTTGTCCAACTCCTCAGCCCAGAACTCATTTTCAGTGAGTTTTATGGTTCTGATAATCAAGTTCCTCAATATTTCGATCGTAAGTCTGTAGTTGTGATACAACTGGAAATTGAGGATTATTCCCGAATGCAATTTCTTTCTGAATAGTCTCTTCTTGAGTATTCCTCAACATCCAGGAAGGGTAGTCATTTATCCTCCAACTAAATTGAGTGTTTAATTCGTTCATCCATCCGGTTCATGCAGTTGAGCAATTGCTTTAAATTGTTGATTCCATGCGAACAAAGTGCAAACTAGTCAAACAGGTATGGTATAGACACTGTCGGTTGCAGCAGTGACTTCTCGAAATCCTTTGCCAATTTGTTCATGTATACATTTGCCGAAAGAGATGAGAATGCAGATCCCATCGGTAGTTCAAATAATTGCTAATAGACATTTCAGTTTAATGTAAAATATGTGGAAACATACAGTCAAGTTGAATAGTCGTGTTAACGACTCCTTCCAGGATATCCTCCTCTCGCTCCAATATCTCCAGCATGCCGCTTACCACCTTCTCACCCGAGATGCTTGTGTACGTGGAGTGTATTTCGAAACTTACCAGCACTTACATCCCACCCAGTCCGATGTTTTGAATCCATTGAGAAAAATCATATGAATTCTTCACTGTGTTCAAGTGTCTGTCGTTTACTTTCTTCATCTTCAAGCATATCAATTTCGCTAATTTGTGTGTTGCCGCATATGCCTTATTAATTAATAATCCGGGGTTTTTCTTCTTTGTGTCTCTGGCTGTCGGTGGCCTTGCGTCATTTTTATTACAGTTTTCATCATGCATTTAACATTTCCTTCAGTTTCCCCTTGATCTTCGTGGTTGGATCCTTCCTTGGTATTTGACAAGTATTCCGGTTGCCTAGATTACTTTCCGTTTCCACAATGTACTCTTTCCTCTCAATTACCGCTGTCTGTTCTCCCTTATCCTTTCTAAAATCGTTACAATAAGTTTCCACGCCAATTGAGAATCCAGACACTAAGCTGTTGCTCAATGAGGCTGGCCTATACATGATATCAAAGGCTTGATAAAGTGTAAAACATTAGGCCTTTGGTAGCAGGAATACGGTGAAATCGATAGAATTAAATCACTGAGACGGGCAGATAATGGAAGGATTGCCTATAGCAAGGGGGAGACTCTTATAGAACCTGAAATAAGTGAATTGCGGACTATACTGCAGCCTTGAATCAATACCCCTGGAACAGTGAGTGGATGTGGGAATCAGAGGGAATGTGAATAGGTTTCAATTAGGTTTAGGTAAACAGGTAAGAAATTGTGATAGTGAAGATGTGATACGAAGATAGAGAAAGGTGAATACCCCAGGATTCAAGGAGAGATACCATTCATATTTATCAGACAATTGTTAAAAGTATTGAATTCATTTGTCTCGTTGACGAGTTGCAATGTGGTGCAAAGAGTGGCAAGGCCAATGACGATGCCAGCGAACCGTCTAATAACGTACCAAGTCCACGACCCGACTGGAAATAATCATACGTACCATAGACTCCGGACAAGGTTCGTTTTTCTAGACCTATCTGCCAGTATATCTAATTTGCCGAAACCTGGTCAAAATTTGCCATAAAATGACAGGAGACAGTGAGCATACAAAAGTCCGCACCATCCTTTTCTTAATGCCTTGTTAATTAATATTTATTTTCACTAATTTCCCCCTATCCCCTGGTAACTTCCTTTGTGATTTAATCAATCTAATTATTATTTTTGTTAACATATTTGTTCAAGGCAATATATCATTTCTAAATTATGAAAACGTTTTTTTGATTTTTGGCAGTTACTCTGGCGTTTATTTATTTGTCTCTTCCCTTATCTGAAATTTATCGTTTTCTGTTTTAAATAACCTATATTCTCATTGACATAGTTCATGTATTAATAATCCATTCTAAATGTTCCTTAAATCCTTACTGTTTTATCTGTCACTTGCCTAATGATGCCTTAACTTTTTCAGTGTCAGAACAGACTCATCATCTTCTTGACCCGGCTACCCAAGCTTCAACAAAAATTTCACTGTCAGCTAAACCAGACTGTCTGGCCACGTACACTGACGAAGTGGAGTTTGTCCTTGACAATACCGCATCAAGCTCACTAGCAGATGCTCTGCCTTTTAGTCAGGAAACAGTTCGCAGATTAGCAGAGGCTCCTATCTCTCAGCCAAAAGTTCAGTCTCCTCCATTGGGTCTGAATCTGGAAGTCAGTTCGCGGTTCAATCGGGGACAAATAGTTAGCAGTTTGGTCACTGAGCCAAATGTTCCGATATTCCAGGCTGAGGAAATGGTGGAAGGTCCATATGCTCCAAACCCTTCTAGGACCTCGCAGCTCAAAAATCGAAGCGCCCGACAAGAGCCGGAAAACTATATTCCTATAAGGTCTAGTGCCTCCAGCCCACCCTTGCTTGGCTACAGTCAGTCAAGCGGTCGGCTACACTGGCGTGTACAAAGTGCGAACGGTGAAGTGAAGGGAGTAGTACCAGCTGTCTGTGTTTGCATTCTACCCTATGATCCAGAGACAAAAGAAGTTGCAAAACAGTAAGTAGTGACCCACGTATAAACCCCTTCGCAAAACGAAAACACTTGTTTTAAACATTTATTCAGAATCAAATACAGTATCAATAACAATTTAAATAAATTCAACCTCATTATTAGTATATAATTGATATCATCCTCAATACAACCATATTTTTTTACTGGAAAGCGTCACCTCAAAATCATATAGCAATATTTTATTTAAAAACTAGTTTAAGGTGACCTACAGTATGGAAAGCATCAGTACTAGCAGAATTTACTCACCTATATCGTCGACTTTTACAGCTTTATTATCATAAAACTTTAATAAAAGGTATATGGGCTAAGATGAGTGGCCTTTAGTGTGGTCGCAGTCTCCTTTCGCAGCATAGTATTTATTTTACCTTGATTTCGCAAGTTGATATTGGCAGAAAGGGCTAGAGGAATGCAGCTTGTCCAGAGTCCATAATATGCATGATACTTTCCAGAGTCGGACCGTGGACTTGGTACATTCCTAAACGTTTCGCCGGCATCGTCAGTGAGCATTTTCATTCTTAGCACAACACTACAACTTGTCAAGAAGACAAGTGAAGTCGATCTTTAGATCAATCCTTTATCTGCTAAACAGTTGTGGTATCTCTTCTGCTGTCCTTGGTTATTCACTAATGCTATATATTCATATCACCATTTTACTATCACAATTTCCAACTTGATAATTTAAATCTGGTAGAAGGAAATGCAT